TGTGTGTGTGTGTGTGTGTGTGTGTGTGTGTGTGTGTGTGTGTGTGTGTGTGTGTGCGTGCGTGCGTGCGTGCGTGCGTGCGTGTGCGTATTTCAGCCGTGGCGCTTATGGTGTTGTTGGCAGAACACACGCCAGAGCTGGGACTAAGGGGGGATGCGGGAGTGATGGATGTGGCGTGGGCTTCCGTCGCGTCTCTATCGCGTCCCACCCACGGAGCGGTTGGGGCAGGGGTGCCCTGTACGTGGCTACACTGACACTTCCCCGCCCAGCCCCGCCCAAGCGCCTCACCAATGACGCTGGTGCAGACGGGGGCGAGGAGGTCAGCCAGGAACACCAGGCGGGCGTCGTCGCCGCGCCATGACGTGATGGTCATGGCAATCCACAGGGCCATCCACATCTCCCGGGCGGCCGTCGCGACAGCGGAGCCCAGTCACGAGCATCGGCATCACCAGCTGCCTGGCGCTCAGCGTGCCGTCCACCGTGCCGGCCTTGGGGTTTGGGCGATGATGGCAAGGGAGGGGCTGACAATAGCACATTAAAAAACTTGCGCAATGGCAGGAAAGACAAACAACGCATTGCCGCAACCCGTTTACGTCGCGCCATGAGGGTGGCACACCAACCAAAAGGGTAGGTGCAATGGTCAGCATGCACAGCCTATCAAGCATGTCAGGCGCCCTCTCCAGCTATGCCCACGCACCCACCTGCGGGCCGCCGTCGTCCGGGCGCTCCCCCGCGTCGGGCAGCGCCCTGCTCTCGGCCAGCTTCCTGGCGGCGGCGCACTTGGAATCGTCGGTCAGCAGGGCGACGGGGCCTACTTGTTGGCGGGGATGAGGGCGTCCCTGTATCTCTCACTCAGCATCGCGTGGACCTGGCGCGGTGTTGAGGGCGCCTGGCGGCAAGGGTGCAGGGAGGGACGGCTTTGCGCGGCGGCTACAAAATGAGGTCTCCAAGAAGCCAAGCGGGACGGGTGCCCAGATGGAGCGAGCCGGCCCGCCAAAGCACAGGGGATGACAATGCAATCACGGACGATGGCATCAAGCCTCAGGCAACAACGCGCCGCACGCGTACGGTGCGGCTCCGGCCTGGCGCTCGCCCGACAGGGCCTGGGTGCCCGCTGTCGCCAGCCTCAGCCCTGCACCCGCGACCGTGACCACCCCAACGCCCCAGCCACGGCCAAATTATTCACCCACGCCAGCAAAGCGGCCCGCCTTGACGAGCAACGCGGCCCCAACCCCGAGCCGCGGGCCGCTGCTGCGGCGCTCACCAGCTTTGCCGTTTTCTTCCAGTGGGGCCAGCCCGGGGAGTCGCCCCTCACCCAGGTCCAGGACAGCGCCAGCTTCTCCAGCGCGTCGTCCGTCGCGAGAGCCGGGTCGTACAGCTGAGCGCACGGCTCGCCGTCATCGCCATGGCTGCACAACCACCGAGGCGCCAGGAAGGGCAGGGCGAATCGGGTGCGAGGGGGGAGGTCGGTTGTGTGCGCTTGGGTGTGAGCTGAACGAGTGTCGGCGTCACCAAGTTGGCAACGTCAATGCTCAATTTCTTAACATACCCGCATTTGCGCCAGCCGCCGCAGCCGGCCGCTGCCGGCAGCATGCGCGGTTGCTTGATCCGCTGCAGAGGATGCCGCCACGTCCACCCTCGCACCCACCTCCCACTTCTGCCGCTGGCTGGTGTACGTGTTCCGTGTCCACGGCTTTTTGACCTTGTGGCTCGCGCCGCCAAGCTCCGCACGCAGCTTGCTGGTAACACTGTGCGCGTTGAAGGGGGATGGGATGCAGTTGCGCACTGTGCGTCCGTTGCGCACTGCTGCATGCACCTAGCCGCTCACCGCATTGCTATTGCCGTCGCACCAGAGCAATTATACTGAACATACATAGTGATGAAGGGTGTTGCACAGTCACGGCAGGCACACCTGGCACGTACGAAGCCCCTCTGCTGTGGCAGCAGCTTCGCCGAGGCGCCGCCGCGCCGCGCGGAGTCGTGCCCCCCATCCTGCCCATCCGCGCCTTCATCCTCTGCAGCGTCGATCACTCCCGCAGTCCACTTCCCACGGCCCCTCGTCCGGCGCATTTCTCGCGGCGCGGCGCATTTAGAAACCGGCGCATTTCTCCGCTATATATCGTTTGAGCAAATACAGAAGAGATCTCCGGTTCAGATTTCGAATCCTCCAGGTTGGAATCAAATTCATCGTCATCATCTTGTTCGGAATGTGTTCCTCTCTTTCCAACTCGCTGAGTGATGGGCTGCGCCCCCGCCGCATGGCACCGTCGGGGCAGTCACAGGTCAGGGGTTTGAACGCAGTGCCCAGAAGCCTGCTCAGTGCCGTGTGAGCTGATGAGGGTCATGCCTCCGCTGCACCAGGGTTGCACAACAGGCATGAGGAGAATGTAGGGGCAAGGAAATGCCGAGCTCAAAGCAGGGGGCGGTCACAGGGCGCAGTGAGGCGGCGCAAAGCGCAGGGAACTCAAGCAGCAGCGAACCGAAGCACCTGCCCTCCCTCAGGGCAGGAGGGAGGGAAAGTGATCACGTCTGAGCCTAAATGCTGAGCAGGAGTCTGATAGAGCACTGGGCTCAACAACCACAACATACAGCACACCTCGCGCGAGGGGGAGGTGCTGTGGGGTGAATGTGGGGGAGACCCCACCTGCCGGCCAAGAGCAGCGAGGCAAAGGCGGCGCTGGTGGGCTGATAGGTGATCACGTATGAGCGTGCACCGATTGATAGGAGGCAAGGTTGGCCCAGCAGGCCAGACAAGGTGAGTATGACAAGGTGAGCAGCGGGTCAGTCAAGGTGACCTTTATTCAGGACACGCGGAGCGGGACGGCAGTGCACGGCGCAGTCCACACCTCAATGCTGCGCCGGAGGAGGCGTCTGCGCGTGAATGGAATGGCGGGCTATGTTGCAAAGGCGCCAAAAGAGAGGGTATACCTTAGGTGCCTGATCAGCTGCCCTCATCCATCAGAAGCTGAGTGCTCCTGCACAGTCGCAGGAGGCAACTTGATCACACACAAACGTTCTGCCGATTGCAGCGGCTGTCAAGGCCCCCGAACGGAGCAGCTGAGTGCTCCTGCGCAGTCGCAGGATGCAACTTGATCACACACAAACGTTCTGCCGATCGCAGCGGCTGTCAAGGCCCCCGAACGGAGCGGGAAGTCGGAGGCAGCATGGATTTCCTCCACCGCGCAGTGCATTGGCCTGGGTACCATGCGTGTGTGTGATACCCGCAATACCCGCAATACTGATGTGCAGTGTTCATACCCAAAGCCTTGAGTAACTTTAGTTCCATGATAAGTTACATGATTACTGTTGTAGTGGTTTACTTTTGGAGTTTACTTTTGTGGTTTACAAAGCAGGGATAACCTGTACAACTTGCAAACAGGCAAGGATTTGAGATATCATGCTCAAAAACATATAGAGAGTCATGCTCAAAAAGTCATGCTCATCAAAAAGGGATGCAAGCATATTCACGGCACACCATGATGATTAGCAACATAATGGTCAGCAACAACAGGATTGCATGGCAGCAATATGAAACGTGACGAATAGGAGGCAATGATATCAGCAACAATAGAGCTTGCCACAGAGTTCAGATGCATGATCCCTTGTGAACGAGATGTTTCAATGATTCAACTTGCCAACATGTACATTGCAAGCGATGTGAGCAAGCGTACAACGAATGCTCTGGTTGACTTACGCTAGTAGTGTGAAAACATAGAGAATCTTGCTGCACGCAGCACGATGCACACAGCAACATGATGCAGACAGCCTGCGCTAAGAAACGGCCAGAGGTGTAATCACAGCCTAAATCACAACTCTAGTGATGTGGTAGACCCAATTACGCGATGATGATATCGCTCTCAACAGGCTCCACCTTGGGCACACGAGGGACGCGCACCATCAGAACGCCATCCTTGACACGTGCAGTGATGCCGGTGGCGGCAGCTGCGTTGAGGCAAGGGGTTTGAGGTGGTGAGCCAAAGGGTTGGAAGCCAGCATTCATACGATGCACGGATCAGTACAGCTACTGGCAGGCCGGGCATGGGGCAGCTCAATCCCAGGCACATCAGCTCTGCACACTAAAACCCAATTCCCTCCCAATACATCTGGTACTACAATAAATACCGCGTCTGATTGCACCGCATCTTCAATTGAAATCCTCACCGTCCTCAGGCAGCCTCATGCGCCGCTCAAATGCGCCGCGCCAACGTTCGCGCATCAAGGGGGTAGCCTGAACATCAGCACCCTCGTCTGCCGCCACAGCGCCGGCCTGGCGAGTGCCACGCAGTAGCAGGGTGGCGGAGGGCTGCTTGGGGGGTGCGGGCGCCAGCAGCTTGATTGTGAGGTCGGCCTTGGACACGCCTGGGACGTCAGCTGTGATCATGTATAAGTCACCCTGCGTTTGGGGCCACCAGGTGCGCAGGATGTTGAAAGGGGGGGAATGGTGCTAGTCGACACGCAGCTAAATTTGCTTCAAAAGAAAGAAGTTCAGCTGCATGGAAGCAAGCAAGCATGCGCGGGAGATGGCAGGGACTGCACATGCATGCGTGTACTATTATGCCTACACCACACAACTCTGCTACCCCTCACGCCGTGCCATGCGAGCCATGCGCAAGTGCAGCACCTCACATGAATTCATGCAGGCGTGAGATGCTTGAGCATTGCTGCCTCACCTCCTTGATGAGGTCCACGGCCAGCTGCCAGGTCGAGGCGTCAGTCTGGTCGGCAGGGCTGGGGCCGTCGGCGCCCTCCGCTGCATTGCCGCAGTTGCCCTCTGCGCCAAACCACACACGACCACCGGGGAAGGAGAAGCCGCCGTTGCGCATGGTGCCGCCCCACTGCCTGGCCATCTCCTCCATCATGCGGCACGCCTGGCGCGCCTGCTCGCTGTTGGGGCCATAGGGGCCGCAGCCGGGGGCGCCGTAGTACGCACGGGGCGCGACAAGGACGACCTTGCCGCTGCGAGGAGCGGCAACGCGGGAGGGGCGCCGCTGGGCATCCCTGCGGTTGAGGACGGTGCTGCGGCCGACAGCTGAGCGAGAGACGAGGGTCTGCATAGTTGTGTGGGTAGGCTTGCGCGAAAGCGAGATGGTACCGTGCGGTGACGGCGTGAGATCACAACTTGTCGTGGGATGCTTCTAGGATCTTGGTGAGTCGGTATTTAGGAGTGGGGGATGACGCTTGATTATATATGCTTGTGCGAGAAGTGGGGCAGGCTTTTGGGTGTGGTCAACAGTATGAACGCTGCTCTTCGCCAGCTGCCACACATTGGGCGCACCACCTCCCCCAGTGCCCTATGCATGCATGCACATGAACGACGGCATCGCATGGTCTTGTGGTGCGTAATAGCGTCAGCACAATGGTTAAGGTGTGTGCTGCAGGACGTGCTCGCTTGTTCTTGCTGCAAGCAAATCTGAGTGCCAAGTATGTTGACCAACGAGCACAGGTGCCTGTGCTTTTCGTCTAATTCGCCTCGCCTGCCCAACACACCTTGTGAACCTGTGCCTAACAGCTTGCAGGGTTTGGCTGCCCATGTATGATGGATGGGATCGCCACCTGGTGTCATGGATACGTCGCCACGGCTGACCGTGCACAAGTGGCTGACCATGCAAAGAAGCAATATGATTATTTGAAGGCGCCACATATGCGTTCCAGCAGTCATTTGGGCATCTTGGTTGAGACGGGGAGTATCTTGACAGCTGCGGCACCAGTTCCACCATGCTCTTGCTGCGTCTTTCATGGCCGCTGGGGGCCCATGGCCTGCCGTTTGCAGCTGGGGGTCAAGACGCTGCGGGTGCACTGCATGCTGCCTCATTACAGGCTCACCGAACCTACAGTGCATGCAAAACATCAACACTGCACGTGATCTCAGCTTCAACGAGCTTGTGAGTGCGAGGTCCATAGGTCGAGCGTCTGGGCCCTGTGTCGGTAGTCGGGTGTTTTATAGGTTGCAAAAATAGAGGTTCGAGTTCGTCAGCCACAGTGGGCTGGCTTTTCTAGTGGCAACCACCCCGAGCATTGGCTCTGCCAGCGACGTAGCGGCCCCAGCAGGTATATCTACACGGAGTGCGGCATACCTGTGACGTAACACAGGCAGTAGTTTGATTCACAGGCTCTGGGATGGGCACAGTAGGGGTAACTGGACAGACTTCAGAGCGCCAGGTGCAGCTGGGCTGAGCTGCTGCAGTCGCTCCCGCTGCTGCGGCTGCTGCCGCGCCTCGCCGCGGCATGGCGCCGCTGCAGTATGTGGAGGTGGAGCTTTCCTCCAAAGACGCCGCAGGCGCCGGCGGCATCAAGCAGCACACGGGCGGAAAGGCGCAAGCGTGGCTCCAGTCCCCGGCAGTGCAGCGCGGAGCGCGGACCGCGGCTATGATCCTCGCGTGGTGAGGAACTCCATGGACCGGGCTTGCGCAAAGCCCACGTGACCTCTTTGAGTTGCAGCTGCGTTTTTTGACGCTTGTGCTGGCTTTGCCGCCGCAGCGTTGCACGGCACGCTCCTGATGGTGCCGCTCGCAGCAGTGCGCGGCAGTGCGCACGGGTGTCCCTGCAGACATGCGCTCACCGCTTTGTTCCCGTAACACCAGGTATGTGCTGAGTACGCTGCTGGGAACCTTCAACAAAGTCATTGTCGGCCATGATCAGGGCCTGTCTGGCAAGGGCGCATTTCCAGGTGCGCGTCGGCGGCGCCTTCCTGCATGCCAATGGAGGCAAGGGGGCCCGCGGCCCCACCTGGTCGATCCCAGCCGCCCCCAGCCGTGCGGCTTCCGCAAAGACAGCAGAGGGGCCAGTGCTGGGCTCTGAACACTCAGGCAGGCAGCTGTCAGTCGCAGCGGCGCGGCACAGATGCCGCCCAGGAGGCTGCGGCCCAGTCGTTCCGGCCTCCCTGGCCCTCTCCCTGCTCATGTCCCCCCCCTCCGCAC